AAAAAAAAAAAAAAAAAAAAAAAAAAAAAAAAAAAAAAAAAAAAAAAAGATTACCCTGAGTAATTGCTTTAATACTGGGGGAGAGGCTGGAGGGCTCTCTGATGGAAATGACCCTGGGAGGGAAACATCCGAGTTCAAGGTCTGCCTATTCATGGCTGCATGGTGACTTTCCTGAGACCTAGGCACTTTTGCCTGGATGAGTTCATTTTGCCACTAAAATGAACATTTAAAAAATAGATTTTTGGCCAGGCATGGTGGCTCACACCTGTAATCCCAGCACTTTGGGAGACTGAGGCAGAAGTTCCACTTGAGCCCAGGAGTTCAAGACGAGCCTGGGCAACATAGTGAGACCTCATCTCTACTAAAAGTTTTTAAAAATTAGCTAGATATGGTGGCATATGCCTGTGGTCCCAGCTACTCAGGGGCCTGAGGTGGGAGGATTGCTTGAGCCCAGGAGATCAAGGCTGCAGTAAGCCCTGATTGTACCACTGCACTCCAGCCTGGGCAACAGAGTGAGACCCTGTCTAAAAAAAAAAACAAAAAACAAAAACAAACTAAGGTTATTCTTTTTTGTTTTGTTTTAAGATAGAGTTTCACTCTTGTTGCCCAGGCTGGAGTGCCATGGTGCAATCTCAGCTCACTGCAACCTCTGCCTCCTGGGTTCAAGTGATTCTCCTGCCTCAGCCTCCTGAGTAGCTGAGATTACAGGTGTGCACCACCATGCCCAGCTAATTTTGTATTTTTAGTAGAGACGGGGTTTCACCACGTTGGTCATGCTAGTCTCGACCTCCTGACCACAAGTGATCTGCCTGCCTAAGCCCCCCAAAGTGCTCGGATTATAGGCATGAACCACCGTGCCCTGTGGAGGTTATTCTTAATTTTAAAAAATAAAATAAAAATAGATTTTCCTGCTACAGTGGTATAAAGGTAAAAATGTTGATTTTATATATAAAATCATTTTCTTTACCCTAAAAGTTCATTTTTCCCCCTTCGTTTTCCTGAGTCCCTAAAAGTATTATGGGCTCTAATCACTATGCCTATTAGACCTACTAGAGATGTTGGCCTTGTGCTTGGGTCTGTGGTGACCTTGAGTAAGTTGACTGACTTTTTGGGCCTCAGTTTTCTCATCTGTAAAATAGGTATAGCAACAGCGTCTGTTTTAATCCATAGCAAGTGACTAGCAGAGAGGCAGCTTTGTGACTCCTAGTATCTAGTTAGGTCTCAATCAGTAATGCTATCGGCGTTGCCCTCTGCTAGAGGGTGAGAGGCTTGTGCGTGGAGGGGGCTGGGCTTGTAGTGGAGAGGGGCTGAGTGCCTCCTGTGGGGAGTGGGCTGTTCCTCAGGCACTTAACTAAAAGGCCACTAGGGGCAAAGGTGTCTGCTGTCAGCCCTGCTTCCTGCTCCAGTATCATAAAGCATTAGGGCTAGGAGGGTCGTCAGGGCCTGTCCTCTGCCCAGGCCCGAGAGAGGTGGGATCCATCAGAACAGAGCTGGGACAAGAACTCACGCTGGGACCCTGGCCCAGCGCCGCGGGGCCCCACCCAGGCTGTCTTCCGAGGTGCCACCCTCAGGTAGATGATGACAAGCAGAGCTCCTTGGCAAGATGTAAACAAGACTTGGCTACAGCCTCCCTCTCTCCCTCCCGACACCCACGTTGGCTGCTTGGCCTTTCTGCCACTCACGCCATTTCCTCATGGGCACGTCTGCACATGGGCCTCCATGTGCAGCGCCCAGAGAGGGCCTGGGCTTCAGTGGCAGCACAGCCCCGGGCCGAGTCCCAGTCTACCATTGCCTTACCAGGCAGGTGGCCTCACGTTGGCGTCCTCACCTGAGAAAGAGACCTAAGCACGTTTCCTACCTCACAGGGCTGTTGCAAAGGTGACATTAAATGATGTTGGTCAAACACTTGCACAGTGACAGGTATGGGCAGGGGGTCTCTCATGAGGAGGAAGGCGAGGAGGAGGAGGAAGAACACAGACCGGCTTCTTCCATTCTGTCTTCTGGAGGCAGCTCAGGGAAGCGCCCCCAGGAGGGCCAGGGGGCAGGCAGGCTGCCTGTGTTATAAATCCCAGCCTGCTTCTTACTGGTGGCATGACTTTAGGCAAGGGCTTCATCTTTCCATGCCTCAGTTTCCTCACCTGAAAAGAGGGTGCAACAATAGAACTCCCCTCAAGGGGCTGTCGGGAGAAATAAGTGACACACCTTAGAGGCTCCAACTGACACCTGGTGTGTGGTTAGTGCTCAGTACGAGGTGAGGTATTTTCTCTTCTTGGGACAAGCCACAGCTGACAAATCAGCTTTCGTCTTCAGGATAGAACCTTCTAGAACATGGGGTTCCAGAAATGGGAGTTCTCAGTTCCTTCCTCTCCAAAATATGAGAGACGTGCTGTGCCCACTGGAAGGTTTGTGGCGCACAGCCCAGGGAAGTTTCTGACCATCCACGGCCGCATGGTTGCTCAAGCCCAATGGGGTGACTTCTGGACCCCTGAAAACAGCCCCAGGACAGGGAGGCTGTGGTCCTGAAAATGGCCATGACGTATGGCATGGGCAGCGTGAGGCTCGAGAGAGTGGAAGCTCCAGGAACTCTGATGGAAAGGGTGTTGGGTATCTCCTCCGTGCCAGGCATGGGCTGGCTCTCTGGCTCCGCTCCGGATTTGTAGAAACTGCCCTGGGTGACACTCGTTCTGGTGACTGGCCCAGTGGAAGGTCAGCTAGGGTCCTCAGCTTTCTGGCCTCAGCCCTAGCCGTGTCTTCGCCGCGGGCAGTGCCCTTGGACGTAGAGCCAGCTGGACCCCGAGATGTGGCCTGTGGCCATGGCCCAGGGAGGCGACTGGCTGCCAGGCCACTGAAGTGAGACCCTGAGCTCACTGATGCCAGGCTCCCACCTGCCACAGGCTGTTCTCAGGTCTGCTTCCTTTTAGCTTTTCTCCTGTGGGATCGCTTTAGTCTGACATGGACACTGAATGAGAGATGATGGGGTCCGTGCTTTCTGCACGCCACTTTCCTGAAGTGTCTCTTGTCACCTGAGTCCTTATTGGCAGCTGGCATAAAATATTAAAGCCTAGCTGAGCGTGTGAGCTGCAGAGCCTTGCTAGCAGGGTCTGGTTTCACAGTCCCGAGGCGGCAGCCGCAGGGAGCGTTTGCCACAGGCCCCAGCGTCCCGGTGCATCGCTGTGGGGAGCAGCCCCACGCGCACTTCTGCTCAGCAGTCACATTGTGGGAGCCCGTGGTCCAGAGCATGACCACGGTGAGAGGTACGTACGCTGGCGGCGGAAAGTGATTAGGAATCTGACTTTCGGAGTCAGAACTGAACTCCACGGCGTGTCTCTGTCACCATCGGCAGAACAAACTGGCAGCTTCCTCTGTGATGACCAAATCAAAACACTCACACACTTGGACACAGACCAACGGGAAAGTCATGGTTTGATACAATTTTCCTGCACCTGTTCTCTTCCCCTCTAACAAGACTTGCTAATGTGGCATCTGTGAGCCTACCTCTAGAAACTGAATGCAAAATCACCACATCGCTTTTTTGTTTTGTTTTGCTTGGCTTTGTTTTTTTCTGGAGAGAAAACTGGTATTTTGCATGAAATTTTCAAAAGAGTGGTGGTTCCTAATGCAATATTTTTTAATGTTTAAATTTAAATTTAAACATTTAAAAACACTAGTGGTTCCACTTTTAGGAATAGCCACTACCACCTGTAAGTGAGATCAAAGATCTAGGTACGAGGATGTTCCTGGAAGCATCGTGGTTGCAAAAGACTAGAAATAACTTGACTACTTGTTAACAGCGAACTGGTTCAATCAATTGGGTCCACTCTTTGAAAAAGCATAACCGTAGAAGAACGGGTCTGTGTGTGTGATATGGAGAGCTTTCTAACAGGGTGAAATGTGACAAGCGGAGCACAGGAGAGCACATGAACTGTGCTCTGGGCTCTCATGATGG